TCTCCCAGTTCCTCTACTCCCCCCTCTCTTGCACTTCACTTGTAAATGTATGCCAGGTAATGTCAAATATTAAAATAGTCAAAATTTAGAATAGCTACCACAAAGTTTAATTCTAAGCAGTCTTCTTTGTTGATTTAGAAATTATCATTTTCATTATAGAATGATAAACTCTAATATGAGAATAGTCATTTACCTCTATTGCATTATAAATTATCACTTTCGTGCCTCATTACTGACCTAAGTTGCATGGATACGGGTATGTGTAGCGGACATGACGAATTTGTAAAAGGTAAAGTACAATGAGCTGTAATCATAGTTTAGAGCTAGATAAGCAAACAATTATGGACGGATCCCAAGTACAATGCTCTGGGGGCACATCCTAATTTTTATAAAACTAGGTAGCTTATCTCAATAGGATTTTTATAAGGGGCTGTTTGGTTCGTTTCCTTGATATAGAGAAATGTAATTACATGTAAAGAAACACAAGTTTTGAGTTTTTCAAATTTTTCCAAGAAATAGATTGTTTTGCTTTGGTTCGCACATAAAAAATAGTGGGAAACCAATGTATTTATTTTTCTTGTGTTTGGTTCGCATAGAAAAAAAAGGAAAACTTTTGTAAACAAAACAGAGAAGGAAAAAAATCTGACGTGGCAGAGTTTTCATCAATTTCACTTGGTTGGGGAAGGAAATCGGAGGGAAAAAAATCTTAGTTGGCGACGATTTCAGCAGAGTTTTCTCTCTTCCATCCGAGCGAACCAAAGAGGCACAAAGAAATGGACGGAAACAAAAAAACTGACGTGGAGGGCTAAAAATCTGACGTGGAGGGGTTTTCTGAGTTTTCCACCCCTTATAATAGCGAACCAAACAGCCCCTAAGTGTAAAGGTAATGAAAACAATAAAGTATGTGTCCATTTTCTTTACAACTTAGGATATTAAAATGCTACGTTTTTACAACCTATGGTATCAAAGTGCTACGCTTTACAACCTAAGATATTTATATTTAAGTTTCAAATTAGCGACACAATAGGGTGTATGAGCGTCATTTAGCCTTTTTGAGGTGCACAAGCAAGTTATCTATATAGTTATATTGATGATCCCCCTTGTTTGGTTCGTTTCTTTGATATAGAGAAATGCAATTCCATGTAAAGAAACACAAGTTTTGAGTTTTCCAAACTTTTCTAAGAAATAGATTGTTTTGCTTTGGTTCGCACATAAAAAATAGTGGGAAACCAATGTATTTATTTTTCTTGTGTTTGGTTCGCATAGAAAAAAAAGGAAAACTTTTGTAAACAAAACAGAGAAGGAAAAAAATCTGACGTGGCAGAGTTTTCATCAATTTCACTTGGTTGGGGAAGGAAATCGGAGGGAAAAAAATCTTAGTTGGCGACGATTTCAGCAGAGTTTTCTCTCTTCCATCCGAGCGAACCAAAGAGGCACAAAGAAATGGACGGAAACAAAAAAACTGACGTGGAGGGCTAAAAATCTGACGTGGAGGGGTTTTCTGAGTTTTCCACCCCTTATAATAGCGAACCAAACAGCCCCTAAAACTAGGTAGCTTTCTCAATAGGTGCCCCCACTAAAATTTAATAGGTGCCCCCAGTCCATTTCAACCCACACTCAATTTCAGCCCATATTTATTTTCTTCCGTACTGATTGCATCAATCTAAGCCAATTCATCTTAGAACAATAAGTTCAAATAGTTAAATTTTCTCTCTTTGAACCATGATATCAAAGAGAAGCCCTTGCCCTATCCTCGTGAGAAAGACCGATCGCCAGTCAAAACCCGATCGCCTCTCAGAAAACACTAATATCACCCCCTCCGTCTCTCTTGACGCCTCCAATGGCCGCCTCTTGTAGTGCCTCCACCTCGTGCTCGCCTCCACCTCTACCACTCTCAATTTAGATTTGGGAATTAGGTTTGATCTTTGTGAGTCATTTGGTTACAAATTAGTTTCCTTGCCTTTTGAGATTATGGTGTTCATATATAAGATTGAAACTTAAAAAATTATGCTTTGATTTGGTTTTTAATAGGGTTTATTAGTTATAAATTATGAGTTATAAAAACTCAAAGTGTGCTGTGAATCTGTGATTTATTTTTCAATATGAATTATTACTTATAAATTGTAATTTTTTTAGTTCAGGGTTTGCCCAGTGAGTTGGGACTTGACTTGGATGTAGTATTTAAGAATTGTGAAAGACAAATAGTGGTTTTTTGAGATGATGAAAGTTGCACCAATCCTTTTAAAGTTAATAAACTTATGATTTGTCCATGTTCTTTTTAATAATTCAAGGATATCAATTAGTATTTCTCTTTTTGTTATGTATGGAAATTTTTCTTAAAAGAAAACAACAACCAAGCAATTAGATTTTGCTCAACCTTGTTCTTCTGCAAATAAAGGAATTTTGAAAGTTGACTTGAAAGGCTTACCAACATAGCATGGATTACGATCAATAATGCTAGATTATCATCCTAAGAACTGTGAAGAAATTCAAAGAGCTTATATGCTTAAATGTCCATGTCAAACATGAGAGCATAAATTTTCTCAAAGAAATTTGAGAAAAAATATTAGGACGATTCAATCCTAATTGATTAAACAGGTATGGTAATAGCTTTTGTGATAAATGGTATAAATAAATTTTGCTATTAGAATATTTTTATTATATAGGTTCTTAATTTATAGGTATAACCGTATAATTTTATATGTGCCCCCATAAGAAAAAATTCTTGGATCCGCCTTTGCACCCAACCCTTTGAAACTGTAGTTCTTAAGACTAGAATGAACTCATCCATTGCCCAATAAGTTTCAGAAATAGATGTATAGTGTAGAATATATGTTCAAGAAGTATGTGAAGAATGTTATAAACTTAAACATGTATTGTATACTTAACTACAGGTCTTGAATAGATGTATGCAGATATCTAAAAAGTGTCAGTTATGGGCACGGGAAGTGTCGCATATCGATATGGCTTCACGATAGAAGTACCCCAAGTAACATAGTTACTGATACTCATTTATTTCCACTACACATGAACAGCTGATCAGTTGCTTTGAACTAGTTATTGTTACCCAATGTACAACCTAAAGAGAGGAGCAAGGGGGGCGTCAATAAGTTCGCGTGTAGTTCACACAATATTGGAGCAGTATGCCCTCCACTATACATGAACAACTGACCAATTGCTTTGAAATAGGTGTTGTTACCCGGTGTACAACCTAAAGAGAGGAGCAAGGAAGGTACCGATAAGTTCATGTGCAGTTCACACAATATTAGAGTAGTATGCAAACCTAAGAAATTATAACATTTTTTTGGTCCTAAAATTATAACAATATTGACAATAATCATGTAAGGAACATGATTGTATGTAATTTCACACAATATAGGGATTAGGAACCAATGATGAAATTGTAACAATATCATGCAATAACGAAGCAGTAATAGAAACAAGTAAATAGAGAGGAGGCTCACCTAGGAGGCATAGGGTTATAATAAGGGAGATACTTAGGATTTTTTTTCGTGGAGACTGGAGGGAGAAGAAATATGGTTTTTCCAAGTGTTGGTTGTTGACAGAATTTTAGGAGGAAGAAGAGGAAAACAAATAACTTCAATATATAAACCAATTGCTACCAATTTGTCATTCGCAATAAATCTAAAAAGTGATGACAACTTCTGATACTAGCCTTAGTTGCAGGCTGTAGACAATGAAGATAAAATTAGATAAAAACTGACTGACCTTTACAGAAATCTCGCATCGATCTCATTCGTTTTATGCATCCTTCTTTTGTGTGTGTCCCAATGGAGCTATTGTTTTCTAGACAGTTTATTTTTCAATTTTATTGTCTTATCAACTTTAAAGATGATCCAATAACATATCGCCATCATTTCTCGACAGCAGCGAGCGGCCATGGTTACTGAAAGCTCCAGGCACCCTAGGCGCCTGGGCAGGACCTAAGCAGTTTTCTTTTTTATTTTTTAGTTACAATAATTGATAATAAATGCAAATGTTACAAAATGTTCTAGGCAGCGTTGGGTGTCGTCTAGTGCCTATAGCATAGGCTGCCTATAGCATAGGCACCAAGACATATTTCTTTCTTTGTTTAAGAGGTGGTGGATGATGTTTCATGGAAGTTGGATGAGGTGGAGGAGGTGTTCATTGTTAGTGGAGGAAGCCATACAAACTCGGAGGAGGTTGGAGGATGTGGAGACTGTAGCGGAGGAAATCATGACTAAGGCATAAGCAGTGTAGTTCATGTAAATGGTCCATGCTTCCTTAGGTGCTCCCATGATCTAGGCAGATAGCCTTGGGCCTAG